TAGCCTATTAACACTGCTCTTCTCCAAAGTGAAGGTTCCCTTTAAGTTATGACTCCATAATGGTTGTTTGGTCAACCATTTACACCAACTTTTAAAACCCATGTTGGATCACCTTGGGTTTTCTTTTAGATTTTTTCCCAGTTTCATTAGTTTCATATTGATTTTCAGCCTGAAAGGTGAGCAAGGAGGTGCACGTGTTAGTTGTTAGGCATTGCAGGATCAGTATGAGCAGAAACAAAACAGTCAGCTATTGTTAGCTTACACGAATCTTAACTATGGACTAAAACACTGCTGACGTTGGCCATGCACAAATGCAAATAAAAGGAGGGTATGGAGAATGCAAAGAGCATTAACGAATGTTATGGATGCGAGTCGTAAGATCATCAGAGCCTAGTTCAAAGCTTTATTTTTCAGCTAGGATAGAAAAGCATGTATCTTAAATGCTATTTCTGTCATGGAGAAATAACTGTCGAGTTTACATATAATCTGTGTACAGGCTGACCCATAGTGTAACCTCTGCAGAAGGTAAGATCCTGGATGGGAATGACAAAAAAAGCAATATGTGATCAGACTGCTTACAGAATCTGGAAAATAAATCAGTGGGACAAGCTTGGAAGAGACTCAAACCGCCCCCCCCCCCCCCCGATTTAATGTACTGATCTTGAACAGATAACTCCACTGTCAAAGAATGCCAGAGACATGGGCTCAGGTTCTGGTGTTGAGAGAAGAAAAGTCTGTCCAGGAACGACAGGGGAATTCATGTTTGTGGGAGAGGCTCCTTAATGACCAAGTATGGAGGAAGCAGGGAATGAGAGCAGGAGTGCTTACTAGGGAGGTAGAGAAAGAATGAGGATGATGTTCCAGTCTGTTTTGAAAGACCAAATAGAACAGAGAGAGTCTGACATACAAAAGTAAGGCTGCATTTTAGCAGGAGAATAGCTGGCAATGCTCATGGTAAGTTTTAAGGTTAAAGACAAGAGTAAGCGAAGGGACAAGAACTGGCTTAAAGAAGTCAAACATAAACCAGGATGGGATGAGATGACTGCAGCAGTGCATGACATGTTGGAGTATTTTATCATCCACCATGCTGTTTAATTGTGTTGTAACACTGGCAGTAATTCTACAAGAAGTACATTCTTCTTGAAAATCCTTGGCTCTTTAGTGGGAAAATAACTTCAGATGCAGAATGACTTGTTGGTTTCAATGAGTTTATTTTTATATGCCATAAACTGGCTGTAAGTAAAAGGGTGCTGTACGTTTCCAGTACGGTAAGACTAGCAGTATAATTGAGGCTCATTAGCCCAAATACTGAAGCTGACAGTGTCTTTGAAGATGGTATCCTTGTTCCGATGGAATTACCTTCTCCTTCACTCATTTCACTCCCTCCTCAATCCTGTCCTGGAGCCTGAAGAAATGTTTGTAGGTTCTCCTAGAAAAGAGACACCTTTGAAAGACAAAGGGAATGCGAATGATCTTTCTTCACTCCTAGGGTCTGATCTTGTTCTTCCGGAAATCTGCAGCGAGATTCCTGCTATCTTTAGTAGCACCAGCCATGGTGTGACCAGGCCAGATGCAAGCTTGAAGCACTCCCAGTGAAAAAGGCCTAAGCATACTGAACTGGGGAGATAGTAATTAATAACTATTTAGAAAAACATGGTTCCCTTGAAAGGCTAATTATTCTGAGAGTTACCCACTGAAAAAAAAGGTCTAATCAATGAGAAAACAAATTAAAAATGAAGAATCTCTCCTAAAAGCAGACAGCAGAACACTACATTCAAGAGGACAGCCACCAATTAAAAAATGTCAACAACTCAAGTGGTAGCAACTTCAAAAGGGAAATCTTGTCCTCATTTTATATGCATTCTTCATGAGCAACATCAAGCAGTGTAACATACTAATAGCTAGTAACACTCAGGATAAAATTCACTAATTTACTAACTGAATAATTTAATGCATATCAAAGGAATGATTTTCTCATCTCATTCTTTTTTTAGATCTAACACTAAGCTGAGTATTATGAAGCAGATGAAACTGCACAGATTACAAGTAATAAAATAGCCATTTTAGAATTGGATTTGTTTTTTTTTTCTGTTGGATGTCTCTTTTTGGTAGAAGGAATCACATACCCTTTTTTTCTTGTTATAATTCAGATTTTAAAAAACAACAATATGGAAAGTATCTTTGTGGACTTGTGATGTTTTGCTGAAAAGTGTGTTTTGCGGAGACAGATCCGTTATGATGTTACACTTCGGTGGGATGCAGGCAAGACCCTCTCTTGTGAGACTCCCCCCTGCAGCCCTGGTCCAGCTCTGGGACAACAGCACAAGAGGGACGTGGAGCTGTTGGAGCGAGGCCAGAGGAGGCCATGGAGATGCTGCGAGGGCTGGAGCAGCTCTGCTCTGGAGCCAGGCTGAGAGAGCTGGGCTGGGGCAGCCTGGACAAGAGAAGGCTCCTTAAGGGGAGACCTGAGAGCAGCTCCAGTGCCTGAAGGGGCTGCAGGAAACATGGAGAGGGGCTTGGGACAAGGGCCTGTAGGGACAGGCCAAGGGGAATGGCTTTAACCTGCCAGAGGGGAGACTGAGATGAGCTCTTAGGCACAAGCTCTTCCCTGTGAGGGTGCTGAGGCGCTGGCACAGGGTGCCCAGAGAAGCTGTGGCTGCCCCATCCCATCCCTAGTAACATTCAAGGCCAGGTTGGACACAGGGGCTTGGAGCAAGCTGCTCCAGTCAAGGGGTCCCTGCCCGTGGCAAGGGGGTTGGAACTGGATGAGCTTTAAGGTCCCTTCCAACACAAACCAGTCTGTGGTTCTGTGACTCTAAACTGAAAATGTGGGACTGCAGAGACAGATCTGTCATCCACCTGCCCCATGGTGAGAGATTGGTTTGATTCCAATGCAGAATAGAAGTCAAATGTTAATTTTTTAATTGCAAAAGAAATTTTCTACACTCCAAAATGCCAGACTAGGTATTGAAAAATGAAGAAAAGCTACATGGCAAGGATATTTTTTGTTTAATGTGATTTTTAGAAGTCTATTTACAGAAGTCGACTAAATTTAAGCAGTGTTTTGCCTTTGCTACTATTGCACACTATGTAGCCCACTACCATCTGCTAAAACACTTCAAGAATAGGTTACCAGTTAAAGTACCAAACAGAAAACCAGCTCTTCCTTTAGTTCGTGTGTCACAGTCAGAAAGCCCAGAGCGGCTCCAAACTGATAGACAGCCACCGTTGTTTCAACATCTGATGGCAGAGTGAAGCAGAGAGCCCCAGGTTCAACACCAGGTTGATGCTGTTCAGTGTCTTCACTGATGACCTTGATGATAATACAGAATGCAGAAATAGCAGATCTGAAGATGACATCAAATTAGAGTTGCTGACATGCCAAATACTAACTTTTGTGGAGGGATCTTCAGGAACTTGGGATCTGACCAAACAGATCAAAATGTATACAGTCCTACATCTTGGGCAGAGTAATGCCATGTACCAGGAGAGGCTGGGAACTGCCTGGCTGAGCAGCAGCCCTGCCAGAGAGGACTTGGAGGTTACAGGGAACATCAGGTCAAATGGTGTGCCTGTTGTCAATGGGGCAAACTGTACATTGGTCTACTTTTGAAGAAGGGTGCCTGGCAGGTTGAGGAAATGCATTATCCCTGTCTCCTCTGAGCTGGTAATGTCACACCTGGAATACTGTGTTTGGCTTTTGCACACACCCCCCCCCCCCCCGCCCAGGTCAAGAGGACATTCAGAAATGGGAAGGGAAGGTAGCAGAGGGCTAGTGGGATGGCTAGGAACAGTTAACGTGCTTCAGAAGATCAGGGAGGCTGTGGCTTTTCATTCTGGTGCAGGGGGGGCCTAAGGGGTGATCTAATAGCAAGCTGCAACCATGTGAATGGGAGCTGGAAAGAAGACAGGGCCAAGCTCTTTGTGACAGATGGCTTAGTAAAGGGTAGTGGCCACACACAGCAGCCTGGGAGGTTCAAACTGGCCATTAGGAAAAACTGCTTCCCCAGGAGGCTCCCACAGTAAGGAAGAGGTTACTCAAAGGGGGCAACCAAGATTTGCCTAGGTAAAATCACAGGAGACCTGCCCCAGTGCTGCTTTGAGTGGAAGGCAGGAGATGATCTCGGGGTCCCTTCTAACCAATATTTCTAGGATGTAACTCAGATTTAAGCCTGTGGCATTATCAAAACCTTACCTAGATTATGTTAACTAATTCGAAGTTCACTCATTACTAAATGACAGAATCCCAGACTGTTTTTGTGTCGGAAGGGACATTAAAGCTCATCCAGTTCCAACCCCTCTGCCACAGACAGGGACACCTTCCACTACAGCACGCTGCTCCAAGTCCTATCCAACCTGGCCTTGAACACTGCCAGGGATGGGGCAGCCGCAGCTTCTCTGGGCACCCTGTGCCAGCGCCTCAGCACCCTCACAGGGAAGAGCTTCTGCCTAAGAGCTCATCTCAGTCTCCCCTCGGGCAGGTTAAAGCCATTCCCCTTGGCCTGTCCCTACAGGCCCTTGTCCCAAGCCCCTCTCCAGCTTTCCTGCAGCCCCTTTAGGCACTGGAGCTGCTCTGAGGTCTCCCCTTAAGGAGCCTTCTCTTCTCCAGGCTGACCCAGCCCAGCTCTCTCAGCCTGGCTCTAGAGTAGAGCTGCGCCAGCCCCAGCAGCATCTCTGTGGCACGTGCACCTTATATGCAGAGAAAACCTACATGAATTTCCTGACTTTCCTTTATACCACCCAACATTTTGCATAGACTTATATTTCCTTTCTAAAATAAACTCCCAATCCTTACAAATTCTGCATATATGTGGCATCAAAGCATTCTGGGGAATTTTTCAGTCCATTTATATGCAGCTCTCTGGTGACAGAGACATGTTGTCAAGCAGTGAAGATGTCCAGCTTCTCCGGACAGTAACTGATGCAGTTCTTCTCTGAAAGTACTGATCACTGGGAAAACTGAGCCCCAAATACCAAAACACCTCTCTCTAATCACCTACTGTTTTGCAGAGGGCAATGGGATCCATCTACTAAGAAGGATCTGAGATTTATTTTTAACTTCAAACTTTCCTATGCATCTTAAAAAAAAAAAGCTGAATAAATCTATTTTCCTTTAGGAGGAGATGAGAAGAGAAAGAAATAGTCTGATACATTCTAGCTTAAGAAGAGAGGCTGTCACAGTGTTGTGTCCCATGCCAAAGAAAATCTTTTCCCCAATACTGTTGGCTGGGCCAACACATTTTCAAGACTTTTTGCACCAAACTGAGAGTTCTCCAACATGATGCTTCTGGAAACCAAGATTACTCTTCCAGTCCTGGGATTCAGGAGTGCGGAAGGTAGTCCGCATCACAGTGATATTGTAATGATCACTCTGAAATGGAAAAATATCACACATCAGTGCTTTCATTCTGCAGCTTGAGACATACCTTTGGGAAGTCAGTTTCTGATTACATGTTTGGGCAAATGATGCCTTATCTGCATGCTTTTTTGATGTATCATCTTGATCTGGTAACTTGAATGCCATAACCAGAAATCTTTATTAATTGTACAGGGTTTTATGTCAGTGTAGTCCAAAACATATTCTTCAAACTATCAGCCCCATGAAGTCTGCTTGAGAAGCTGGAGGTGTTCTGTCTCTGTTAGAGTAATCACATAAATTTTATGTAATAATAAGAATCCCCAACTAAGGTAATCTCAGACTCCTGGATATCACATATTTCTGTTTCCTAAAAATAAAAACCACTAAGTACATGAACTGGTACTGTAAACACAAGGGCAAATAAAAGGGTTCCACTGTTGCTGGACTCCTCCTCCCACTTGATTCCAGCAGTCAGCAAAAGTACTTATTCAGGATTAAGTTACAGTAAAGAATTGTTGACCCTGGTGTAACTGAGAGCATAGATAAAGTCAAGTCAATGGGGTTTGCTTCATCTTGCGACATTTCAAATGGAGCCTCCACATTTGTTTGGATCATAATGAAACCATACAGAAAACAGCTGTTTAAAACCAAAATGCAGTCTATAAAAGCTTCTCCAGAAGTATTTTTTATTGAAATGTTCACAGTTGAGTTATCATTATTTGCTTCTCATTTGGGCTGCATTCTAAATGCTGTATGTTAACAAACTTAGACCATTTAATGCCAAGTGCTTTACACATTTCTCTTATTGAAATTTCATGAAAGAATCACATTACATATGTGATGCTAATACAGAAAACAGCCTCTCAGAGAACCTGGGTAAAACCCAGGCACTGCAGTAACCAGTGAAATTCCCACTGATCTCACTGGAGACAGGATTCTAATCTATAGGTCTTTGCTGCATATGGGTAAGAAAAAATTATCTTGTTACTTATGTATCAAGAAACTTAGATCGTAATGAAGTCTACACTATCATTCATCATTGCCCTTATTAGACAAAATAAAGTGCTACTTCAGAGTGCAATAGTGTCCAGTTTGGAGTATGTGTGTAACTGCTGGAATATGCAGTAGATGCCAGTTTAGATAGGGCTGTAGACAGGGCTAGGCATTTGCTCTAATAATCTGCAGTTTTACTGTAGAATCTGAGCACAGCATTGACTGTACTGAGGTCTGGGAGAAATGTGAATCGTTAGCATTTAGGGCTTAACTGTATTGTGATATGTTCAGTAGTAAGTCATAGGTCATTAGGAGATGGAAGCGGCATAAAAATTAAGCAGATTTTAAATAACTTTTATGATCATTAATATAAGACCAGGCATAGTGGTTTACCTTTATTTAATTAGGAGACATTTTTCATCTGTGCGAAGCACACTGAAGTGGGCTGGTTCTATCATTCTCCCTCTTACACAGTGTTTTTTGCAGCAGTTTTCTGTTCCACAACTCAGCCATGCAGGGCTGTGGGGTTTGATGGTTGATTTCTCTAGCAAAAGGAAAAGATGAATTAGGGCTGCTCTAGGACACCACTGGTCAGGAACAAGACGAGCAGGAGTGGTTTGAGATGGGATTTGCTCTGTAGGACGTTATTGTCTTCCAGTTGCAGAAATGGTAGAGTTCTCTGAATGCTGCCCATCAACATCAGTGCAAAGGTATTTTCCTAATTGGTATTTTTTGACAGTTACTAAGATGTTACCTAGTTATCAGCTCATCACGGTCTGGGAACCATTTAGAGAAATGCAGATTTTTATTTACAAGGTGGTTGACCCTAAATAAGTCAGTCTGGTGCTGCTTAAGCAGCTTAAGCAACTGTAAATCAGGATGAGAGCCACACAAACTCTACTTGAGGTGTTCAGATGAAAACAGAGGTATGAAATTGTTTATAATCAGACTTGACAATATAAATTCAATGTGAAATAGGCTTAACTGTTTTAAAAATAAAACTTCAGATTCTTTCCAATAGCTCCAGTCCTTAAGCTATTCAATCCTGCAGTGCCTATCCCGTGCCTGACTTTCTGATTTGGTTCTAAGATTACTATTAATAGACCAGAAGTGGGGGAAAAAAAGAAGTCAAATAAAGAAGTGAAAATACCTCATTCTGCAAGCCCCCGTGTTTGTTTATTTGCATTCTTTATTTTGGAGAAACATCTTCAGAAGTTGAGTTTTCTGGTGGGGATGAATCTTTCCCTTTGGTGACTCTGGACCATCCATCGCTCGCTGCCTCCCCCCAGTCCCGGCTGGGGTTGCTAAGCGACATGTTCTTCTCTTCTGTACTTTAGCAGAGAGGAACAGATCAAAGACACCCACAGTCCTGAATTATTTTATAAATTAATTTAAAGAGACACTCTCCCGCGCTGTATTATGTAGGGGGAGATCAAAAGTTGCTCTATATACTGAGAGTACCTGGAGGATTAAACTGACGTCTTCTGGAAAATAAGAATGTTCTCATTACTGAGAATTACGCAATATTTACCTTTTTCTTTTTCTTTCTTTTCCAGAACCAGACTATGAATTCATGCTAAGTAATGTTTCTATAGTTTTATGGCAATCAAGACATTGAACACGGGCCAGGCTGCATGTTTGTATGACTTTCAGCAGTAAGGTTTTCTGACCGCGAGCGAGGAGCTTGCTGGTTTTTAACTCTTTTCATCTCTTGCAAAAGAAGGAGTCACGTTACTCAAAAACTTATCATTCTCTAAACTTTCAATACTTTCTTGACTTACAGTGAAGACAAGAAAGTCACAGGGTAAATTCAAGTGGTATCTCTTTAAAAGAACAAATGAAGGTAAGAAAGTAATCTGTGTACATCAGGCAAAAAACCCTAAGACACCAGGATCCTTGGTCCTTTCTGAAATGCATGAAAATCAAATGAAGGATCTTTAATAACAAAACCTGGGAATACATGAGTTTAAATGTTACCTCTCAAAGACAGCATGTAGCTGGCCTCAGCTCAGGTCTGCTAATCTGTGCACACTGGGAGATCAGTCGGCGCACACTGGCAATTCAGGAGAGCGTTTGCTGAAACAGGAAAGGGAGAACTTAATTGCCCTTGGAACTCCTCAGTTTCAAACACTATCAACATTGTAAAAGGAAAACTCCCACCACTTAGTAACAAAGTGCAAGAAATTGTCAAGCCTTCCATTTCCCAACACACCATTGCTGCCCAGCCTGAAGGAAAAGGAGAGGCACCTTAATAACATGCTTAGAGCAGTGCCCAAGCGAGACCCAGCCTTTATGTGATAAACAGAAGTCCCAGCTCAAACAGCTGCAAAAAAAAGCACCCTGACACCTGCACACAGAATCCTTCCCATAGGCAAACCTCATTTTGTCCCAGCTACCTCATCTGCACAACCAAATGTCTCCTCTAACGCAGTTGTGGGGCCTTGCTCACACAAACAGATGCATCCCATGGGTGCAGGATCACTGTCTTAGGGTATAAAGCATGCCCGGGTGCAGTGCAGAGCTCACTCCTCGCTCCCATCCTGTGCCTGCAATCCCACATAGACTTGAGAGGAGATTAGTGAAACCTAATGCACTCTGGGGCTATAAAGGGATAATCTCACATAAATCTTCACCAAAAAAAAATCAGTGTTAGCATTTATTTACATGCCTTTTACTTTCAGTGGGAAACCAAACCTCCTTTCTCCTGCATCAGTAAAGGTCTCGTCAGAATTCTAACTGCTTAGCTTTGGCACTTAAAATCCACTGTACTGCAGTTAACCTCTCATCGTATGAAAGCATATTTTAGAAAAGGCCTTTGGCAGCTTTTCCATTCATTACTAGATATCTGTTACATGGGCAAGATGAGGGTGCTGGGGCCCTGGCAAAGGTTGCCCAGAGAAGCTGTGGCTGCCCCATCCCTGGCAGTGTTCAAGGCCAGGTTGGACACAGGGGCTTGAAGCAAGCTGCTCTAGTGGAAGGTGTCCCTGCCCGTGGCAGGGATTGGGACTGGATGAGCTTTAAGGTCCTTTCCAAACCAAATCATTCCATGATTCTGTAAAATGTGTGCTTTATTCTCACTGATAGAGCATTTTATGTACAAATACCTTGACCACTGCTATGTTGTCAGTGATTAGCAGATCCAGTGTGTTTTGGCTGAATTTCTGAAGGGGAAAACTGTGATTTGCACTCTAAATATTTTTTCTGGAGAATGGATTCCTCAACAGACTATGGGCATCTTGTACAAAATACAAGTAAACATTCAGAAAGGAATTTAATGCTTCTGGGCAGGTATCAAATCACCAGCCATGGAAACCAAAATCCCCGGGACTGCACCACTGTTCCACTAAAATATTAACTAAACATTTTAGTTAATATTTATTACAGTATTTTATTAGTATTGGTAGAATTTTGGTTAATGAATGTAGTTATTTTGAATTGCTGCTCCTCTTATTTCTGGAATGCTGCAAAAACATCTTCTGCAGCTGGATCACAGGTACGAGCAGTCAGGGCAGAGGTTTGGGCCTATGAACAAGGGATGATGCTTGTGGTAAGTGGGAGGCCATTGAAAGACATTGAGAACATTAATAATGTCACTTTATAGAATCATAGCACCATGGAATGGTTTAGGTTGAAGGGACCTTAAAGCTCATCCAGCTCCAACCTCTGACATGGGCAGGGACACCTTCCACTGGAGCAGCTTGCTCCAAGCCCTTGTGTCCAACCTGGCCTTGAACACTGCCAGGGATGGGGCAGCCACAGCTTCTCTGGGCACCCTGTGCCAGCGCCTCAGCACCCTCACAGGGAAGAGCTTCTGCCTAAGAGCTCATCTCAGTCTCCTCTCTGGCAGGTTAAAGCCATTCCCCATTGTCCTAACACTACAGTCCCTCATGAGGAATCCATCTTCAGCATCTGATGTACCTACAGTGCTTTGCCTGCTTAAAGCACCACAACGTAACAGTAATTAGTGATCTGGATGTTTCTGAAATGATCAGCAGTGTCAGTTGAATTGTCATTAAAATACAATTAACAGCCCTTTGAACTGAGTGCTGTAGTTCACAGCACAGCCTAATTGGTGGCTCATGGGCCACATCTGGACAACAGGAGGATTGTGTCTGCTCTTCCTCTTCTCTAACTGCACCAGCTCAAGGAGCACCTCCTCCCAGGAGTGCAGCTGTGCCCACAAGGACAGACACGCAGAGCCATTCTGTGACTGGAAAGGCACAAAGTGTCCCTTGTGTCCAGCCCACTGTGCTAAAAGCCTGGATTTTGTAAGCTCGCTTCATCCTGCGTGCAGACTGGGGCAGGCACAGCCCCACAACTTCATAATTTGCAATTCAAATCAATTTCTCTTTTTTTTTTTTTTTTACTTGGCTTTCAGAGTACAGCTTTGTGCAGCAAGAGTTTAGTCATGAAATAAGGGCAGCCCATGGTAAGACAAGTTAACTGGGCTGCCTACAGCTATGGGTGATGCGCTGGTAGACCATGCTGGTGTATGTTTGGGTAAGAGAAAGAATTTAGTTACTGCAGCAGACTGAAAGTGAAGGTATGGCTTGGATGTTGCTCCGAAACCTGGCATCTACATCCCCCATTTAGGCAGCTAAATCTGTCACTTATGTGCTTTAGCTACCTGTGTTAACTGAATAAATGCCGAAAAAAAAGACACGTTTTTAAGATGTTAGAAAGATAAATAGCTGCCTCTGAAATGGCCACAGTACAGATTTTTAGCTCCTATGTGCTCTTCAAATGATACCACTTACAAATGCATCGTATTTGGTGTTGTGTCTAGCTGTAGTAATGTATTAGTATCTGTCTGTAACACAGATACTAATGTATTAGTATCTGTCTGTAACACAACTGATGCTCCTGAAAAAAAAGCACCATAGAATATACTTTAAATACTGCCTTTTTGTATGTCTTACACAACTCTTCATTAATACCCAGAGAACAGCATGCCACTGTTCCAGGTTTTTGATGAACCAGTCCTCCTGCTCTCCACCAGCTCCTCTTGCCTGCTTCCTAATGCCTTTCTTATTTATGTTTTTACTTTTGCAAACTCCAGTTTAGAACCGAAAATGTTCACACTTTTGTTTCTTAAATATAATGAAGGGTAGCAAATGGACCTGATGTAATCTGCATACTGTGTGCCCCGGCTAAGTATCCACTGCTCTGAAAGCGCTGCTTGTTCTCTGAAAGGAAGAATTCTTTCAGGCAGCGGCACTTGCCCCCTCCTCTATGAGGCTGCTTTTCCCTTACACTCCCAGGATTCACTGCCAGTCATTTTTTGCCCTAAAAGTTTGCTGGAGCAACATCCCCATTTACCCCATGTCTGTACAGGGCCGAGCTCCGAATGGGTTGGCTTTAAGGTCCCTTCCAACCCAAACCATTCCGTGGTTTGGTTGGAACTTTATGATTCTAAAAGATGTGTGTATAAGCAGGAAATTCTTCCCTGTGAGGGTGCTGAGGCGCTGGCACAGGGTGCCCAGAGAAGCTGTGGCTGCCCCATCCCTGGCAGCATTCGAGACCAGGTTGGACACAGGGGCTTGAAGCAAGCTGCTCTAGTGGGAAGTGTCCCTGCCCATAGCAGGGTTGGAACTGGATGAGCTGTAAGGTCCTTTCAACCCAAATCAGCCTGTGATCCTACGTCCCATCTACAAGATTTTGGTGTTGGCCTGGCATGTTTTGCTAGTATTTGTATGGCCTAAAGAAATTATTTGGAAAGCAGCAGATGCCTTTGGGAAATATCAAAAGAGGAATAAAATAGACTGAAAGAGAATATCAACTGGTCAACTGGCCCAACAAGAGACAAAAAAATGCAACTCTAAAGTGATTGCCAACAAGTGGGCTTGTAATGCCCGCTCAGGAAGAACACGCAGCTCCTTGTACGCTTTCATTCTGCAGTCCCCATTCACACAAAGTGTTCATGCAAAGAACATAAACTGCTGCCCATTCAAATATAATACAGTTCCTAAATCTGCTTTTTTTAAAACCACAAAATATGTTGTCTCAGGAGGAACAAGAGACCAAGTACTAGAAAATGGGATGTGGGGTTTGTTATAGCCACAACTTTAAGAGGTGCTCCAGGGGAAATGTAAGTAAACATTAATGATAGTAAACTAACAGCCCACTGGATAACCGACAACCCACCAAAACACAGGCCAACAACTGGAACAGGAGAAATTATTACAAGTTATCTCACAGCAAAATTAAGATGCCAATGGAAATTCCCAAGTACTAAAAAGACACTGGAAAAGAGTCTTTGCTCCACCACTGGTGTCATTGCTGGGCTTCTGCCCCAGTGTCACCTATTTGGATTAACCTCCACTTCACAGAATCATAGAATCACAGAATAGCTAGGGTTAGAAAGGACCTTAAGATCATCCAGTTCCAAACCCCTTGTCATGGGCAGGGATGCCTCACCCTAGACCCATCCAAGACAATACCTCACCCAAGACTGTCCGACCTGGCCTTGAACACTGCCAGGGATGGAGCACTTAACCACTTCTTTGGGTGGCCTGTGTCAGGGCCTCACCACCCTCACAGTAAAGACAGGAAGTAGTTAGAGACAGCATACAGAAAACAGTCCTGAATATGCAAGAACTCAGGTGTATTTAGAAATTTTGGGAAAGACTGACTGGTCTCAAATGACTTATCTGAGGGCATGAAATGTGAGAAAATCTCTGAAGAACTGATCAAAAATCGGTAGCAGTTTATCTTGATAGTAAACACGGATACATGAAATAAAGCAGCTTACCACAAAATGGCTTTTGACTAAGAGTGGAAAATGTAATGAGGAAGAGCATGCTTTGGGTAATTCTACATTCTGTTGAGGTAAATAAAAAAGTAAATGCCAGTAGGAGGGAGAAAAAAACCAAACTTCTGTACAGTCAACACTGGCACGTATTTGCATGAGGCAAGTGCAAGGAGAGCAGACTTCCTGAGTGCCAGAATAGCAGCCAGCAGCCCTCTCTTGGATAGGCAAAGAAGTAGGATTTACTGTCAACTCTCACAAAACGTTAAAGGTCCATTAGGCCAGCTGGTAAAGGAGACTGAAAAGACCAAAAACATCAGTGGACCGCAGTTTCAAGGGACTCCAGTGGACACTGGCAGAGGGTGCCCAGATAAGCTGTGGCTGCCTCATCCCTGGCAGTGTTCAAGGCCAGTCTGGAAAGGGCTTGGAGCAAGCTGCTCTAGTGGAAGGTGTCCCTACATGTGGCAGGGGTTGGATGAACTTTAAGGTTCCTTCCAACCCAAACCAGTCTGGGATTCTGAGATGCTTGTACATCTCTTACTGTCTTCACTAACCATCTTCAGATTCAAACCAGTGGCTTAAGCTAAAAGAAACAAAGAGCTTGAGAAAGGCACAAATTCTACATGGCCAGTGCAAGAACAGCATTAAACAGCAGACTAAGATTCCTCAAGGCAATCCATCACCAAAGTTCCTGGTGGCCAGCGGGAAAGTGCAGAATATCTTCCTCCATAGCACCAGCCTCCTGCAGAAGGTCCATGGTGTAGCAGAGTAGATATATACAAGTCAACAGAAAAGGCTTAATACCAGCAAAAAAATGCAAGTCATATTCACCAGGTATCGCTGCAACTATTTCTTACAATTTTCAAGTAAGTTGAAGTGTTAGTGTGGGGGAATGTTTGATGGGTGAGAACAGAGCAGCTGAAACTAAAAATTTCAGCAAAGTCTTGTTTGTAGACAGAATGCTTTACAAAAGAAACCATGAAAATTTGTATTAACCAATTTTTGCTGGAGAAACAATGTAAGAAAAAATGAACTGCTAGCAATAAATCTAAGCTGAGCAGTCACCTATGGGTTCTGCAACCTTATGTCTTGCAGAAAACTGGAAACAAAAGAAGTTCCAGAAATAAGAGTGAAACTCCTTGAAGAGCGGATGCTGACGGAGACTGATAAGCATTTACATGACTCGGGTGTCTCCCAAAGGAACGTTTTATTGTCCTAAAAGGAAAATGTTATGCCATAGGTATCACAGATATTTGAAAAAAGTTACTGTATGCTAAAGCAAGATGGAGTTTGTAGGTATTTTGGAAAGCTGAGAGATACCTGAACGTGGAAATTCTTCAGCTGTATAAAGTTTGGGTGATTTATATAGTTTAATTGCAGCAACCAAACGTACAAGAGAGGGGGATGTCTCACCCGATAGTAAGTGCTATGATACAAAATCAGAGCAAGACTACAACAAGTGACAGATTTTGTCCCCACAATTTTTTTGCACTTCAAATTTCTTCTATTTTGGTAACTATTTTAGCCTGAGTGACAGGCATGCCTACAGCTGTGAGCTAACAAATGAAAGGAAATCACTTGTGATAACTTACATCTTGAGGATAAAGGTAAGTCAACCTGCAGAAGTGTCCCAGTATAATTTTCCTGGTTTTATATAAATCGCATGAAGATTCTGCAAGCTTCTGTAAGCAAAATGTTTAATAAGTAGGTATGCAAGCGACACAGCCTGAGAGAACGAAGGGTCAGTTTTACTGCTGCGTGCTATCTACCCCCACTACAGTCAAATGTTCTAGATGACAGGGAATGGAAATAATAGCTAACAGCAGAATTATGTTGTAACAGCAGAATCAGGGATGTTTATTTGCAAATGTCCGTATTTAAATGTAGTACTGAAATAATATAAAACTTATTTCACTTTGAGAACTGAAATAACAATGCAGAAAAGTACATTGCCCACAGGACCATTTGCAGATCTGATGGTGAAAAGGAGGACTGGGAGTTTTGCACCTACAGCAGCAAGAGCTGTGAAGTTTTGGGACAGTAGCTCCACAGTGAGACACACCAGAGTGAGAAAGAATGAGAAATATGAAGGGAAATCATGTAAGACAAGTGTTTTCCACAGTTAATATATGTATCCATTCCCAGGCAAATGTACCTACCAAGGTTACCATGGCTAGCCCATTCAACAGCTTATATCCATATTCATCTCACAGTGGGACCAAGTTTCATTAATAGAGGAATCGAGACTAAAATGATAACATTCATCTCCACATTCTTGCCCTGACATGGTTATTCATTACAAGTTCTTCCTAATGACTGTTCAGTTCCTTCCTTCTAGGGAGCCACTCCTAATTCTCTTCTATTCAAGTTGGATAATGACTCACTGACTTTAATATTAATCCTTATTAACCCTTCCCGCGCACAATCAACATCTGCTAACAGTGCAATGTGCAGTGTCTCACTGCTGAGACAGCAAGGTCCTCACTGCCTTTTCCTCCACTGCACCATTTTCTTACTGGCAGAAAACCTAGAGATTCCTGTAGGTTTCCTGCAACTGGCAGATGAAAAAATACCTTGTCTTCATACCTGTGGTGAAAGGCTCTTTAAGTCTTAGTCTACCTCTTTCCCAGTTTAATTTTGTTTTCCCAAATTACACTTCTTTTCCATCACTTTCTTGTCTGGCCAAAGTTTTAGTTGCATTAAGACAGCTATCTGTATCAAGCAACTTCCTGAAGCACCTTGCTTCCCTGTCTGTTTAACTCCCTCCTCTCATGGAGGAGAGGAAGGGTCCTGTTTGTGGATGGGCACATGAGCCTGGCAACTTTCAGTTCTGCTGTGTCTGCCCAACACCATGGGAAGTGTTAGGCTGCTAGGAGCCAGGTTTCTAGTGGCAGATGCTTTTGTCTTTCCTTCTTAATTAACAACAAACCAAACCTAACAAAATAAGTAAACTTAGGAGATATTTTATACCTTATAAGCCATTGCTAAGGCGACTGAACCTAAATATCCTGTGAGACAATTAATGACTCAAGTATTGAATTCTCCTTCAATCAGCTATTTCTCATTTCTTAAGACTAATTAGAATGGCCTGTCTGGTTTCTGATCAAACCTTTTACTGTTTGGTAGAGTGCTGAACACATGTAGGCAAGTCTGACAACCTGCACTTCATGTATGCTGGCACTTGTTCTTTTGACCAAATCTTGGCATGTTTTGATATCTTTGGAATTCTGAAGTTTTTTCTCCTTGAACCTCTTTCCTTCTAGTAGCACCATTGGTCTGCTACCATGTTTTGTGTGTCTCAAAGTGTTCTACAGCATTTTATTATTTTGATGTTATCATAATGTGTCTGCTCTTACAGGAAAAATAAGAAAGTCCAAGGGAAAAATAGTTTGGAAAGAGATCAGGCTACTTACTTTGGAAACCACACTCTCAGATCATGACAAAAATAGATTTCTAGGAAGAAATGTGTATTTCTCATCGACTATTACCATAGCTTTTACAGTAGTCTTTATTTTACCATCCTTCTGCTGTACCAGACGGTCTTGGATACAAACATCCAGGGAGTGGCCCGGCACTAGTGCTTCACTGCCTGTAAGGGAACCAGCCCACTCCCTGAGAAACAGCTATTCCCCAGTGGTAATACTGCAGGTGCCAATCCTGCCTGCCTGTAATTTCATAAATATTACATTCCCTCCACCCCAGTCAATACAGTATTAATGCAAATATACAGTATGTGCAGCTTGACATTTTCTTGATATCTGCAAGGCACAGAAGGAAGTTGCTGTGTTATTATTCTAAGGCAAAAGGCCATCAAAATCCCAGACAGGTTTGTGTTGGAAGGGACCTGGCCTTGAGCACTGCCAGGGATGGGGCAGCCACAGCTTCTCTGGGCACCCTGTGCCAGCGCCTCAGCACCCTCACAGGGAAGAGCTTCTGCCTAAGAGCTCATCTCAGTCTCCCCTCTGGCAGGTTAAAGCCATTCCCCTTGGCCTGTCCCTACATCCCTTGTCCCAAGCCCCTCTCCAGGTTTCCTGCAGTCCCTTCAGGCACTGGAGCTGCTCTCAGGTCTCCCCTTCAGGAGCCTTCTCCAGGCAGAACCAGCCCATATGGAAGTTTTACCGGCAGCTATAAATACACAGTTGCGGGCGAGGTGAGAAGAGCCTGTAATTATTATTTGTAAGTAACGGCCAAGCTGCCGTTCTCTCGGAGGGGAAGGCTCTGTGGCCCAGCAGAGCGCTCAGGCGGTCCGAGGCCGGAGGGGCGGGAACTCTACAGCACCCCGCGTCCGGGCCCAACCGAGCTGTAAACGGTAGCGCGGCCACCGCTCGCCATGGTCCAGGCCCGACAGAAGACCTCGGCCAGCGTTCAACGGGGTCCCGGGACGCGGCTTTCTCGGCGCCGGCCCGCCATGGCGGCGGCCACTCTGCCCCGGCCCGGGTCCGGGTCCTAGAGCAGCAGAGCCGAGGGGGGACGCCGCTGCTCGAGGACCCGCGGCGTGGCGTGGCGTGGCGTGGCGCGGCCCGGCGGGTCTCCCGAGGCAGGGCCGGGATGGCGCATGGCGATCCCCCAGCCAAGCCCCACTCACCGGACCCGTCCCGAGCGGCCTCCCACCTCCCCCGGCACCCCCTCCCCTTTCCCGCCACCCGCTTCCGCCCGCGCTCCCGCGCATGCCCGGGTTATGCAACGGCCGCGGCGGGCGGGCCGCGCCACAGCCGCAGGGCAGGGCAGGACAGCGGGGGGCCGCGAGGGCGGCGGGCCCCGGGACGGCGGCGGGGCGGCGCTGGGGGCGCGCTCCCGCCCCCCTCCCGCCCTCCGCCGGCGGCCGCGCGCGTACCCCGCGCCATCTGTGAGTGGCAGCGGCGGCCGCCGCCAAGTCCCGCCCGTTCCGCTCTCCCTGCCGCAGGCGGCGGCGGCGGCGGGTTGGCTTCCTGCGCGCGGTGCCGCTCCCCCTCCCCCCGGCAGTCGGAGCCGCAGCAGCCCGGATCCCCGAGCCATGGCTCTGTGAGAGCAGCACATGGCGGCCGCGGCAGCCATGAGCCCCCCACTAATCCATACAACTCCCCCCTGAACAGCCACCGACGGCAGCCAGCGCTCCCACCCGGCTCCACCGCTCCCACCGCCCACCCGCAACTACAGCCGCCACCGCGCCGCCCGGCCCGAGCCCAGACCCCGCCGCCGCCGCTGCTGCTGCCGCCGCCGGGCCCCCGCTCGCCCGCTCGCCGCCGCCGCCGCCCGGTCCTCACCATGGGAGTGCAGGGTTTCCAGGACTACATCGAGAAGCACTGCCCCAGCGCCGTCGTGCCCGTCGAGCTGCAGAAGCTGGCGCGGGGCAGCCTTGTGGGTGGGGGCCGCCAGCGGCCCCCCCAGACCCCGCTGCGCCTCCTCATCGACGCCGACAACTGCCTGCACCGGCTCTACGGCGGCTTCTACACGGACTGGGTGAGCGGCGGGCAGTGGAACCACATGCTGGGCTACCTGGCGGCCCTGGCCAAGGCCTGCTTCAACGGCAACATCGAGCTCTTCGTCTTCTTCAACGGCGCCCTGGAGAAGGCCCGGCTGCACGAGTGGGTGAAGCGCCAGGGCAACGAGCGCCAGACGGCGCAGCAGATCGTCAGCCACGTCCAGAACAAGGGCACCCCGCCGCCCAAGGTCTGGTTCCTGCCGCCCGTCTGCATGGCGCACTGCATCCGCCTGGCCCTCATCCGCTTCCACATCAAGGTGAGGAAGAGAGGGGCCTTCCCTTCCTTCCCCCCCCTCCCCGGGGCCACCAGCGCCCCCTCCCCGCCGCTCCCCTGCGCTAAGATGGCAGCGGGGCTGCCCGGGGCCGGCAGCGGAGTGGGGGGGGGGGCGCACCCCGCCTCTCCCCTCAGCGCCTCAAAATGTCGTCGAGGCCCAAGTTTCAGCGGCTTCAATCCATGGGGAATTTCGCTCTTTCAACGGCGCTGACGGTCGCCCCGTCGACCCGCGCAGGCCGAAGCCTGCGCGGGTCGACGGGGCGACCGTCAGCGCCCAGGGCCTCCCGAATTCCCTCTTTCAGTGAAGCTAGGCCCAGCAGCAGGGAGGCTTTTTTGCCTCCATGTTCTTTCGGGGCCGCCGCTCCTTTGACTCAAAATGTCCCTTTTTGTCCATGGCTCCCTCCGCCTGGGCTGGGACTTTGGTACCACTTGTATCACACTCTCGATTGCCCGGTGGTCGAATTAATTACTAAGACGAAAGAGGGGGGAAGAAAGAAATAAGAATCCGTTTAGTTATTACGCGTGGAGATGATCTGCAACAAGTTCCCTGCTGAGGCAAGGAAAGGTTTAAACTTGCGGCGAAGGTGCAAGTGGCTCACTCCAGAATACAGTTTCGTGTTTATGGAGGTTTCCTCGGCCTTTCTCTAATGTATTGACAGGCTTTTGATCAACTGTGGAATAATTCATTCCTTGCTCCGTAACGGCGAACGCTGCCTGCGAGGTCGGGATCTGACAGCTCTTCATTTAAAGTTCTTATTTTCGGGGGAACCTCTGCTTTCTGGGAACACAACACCTCAGGCAGGAGCTGGGGTCTGGGGTGATCTTGCACCGACACCCGAGCCACGATTTCAGAGGTTGCAGGGTATTAATGTGTTGTCTGTTCCTGCACAGCATTTGTGATTTACGGTGGTTTCTGTTAAGCCCAGCAGTTGTGCGGATTGAAACCCAAGGCGATAGAAAAACAAGCCCTGGGATGAAGCGGCAATTTTAGAGAGTTGCTCGCTCGCTTTCCCGAGAGGGAGAGAAGAGCAGCGGGACTGGAGTGCGTACTCATAAGCTTTATTATCATAAATTACTTCATCTGTGTAGGAAAATACCATAGAACCTTCAGAGCCGCGGGCTCGATTGCGAGCAGCCGCTTGACGTTATCTGGCTTTTGTACTGCACTTGTGGCAGATTGGAAACGCTCCGGCCAGGTTGCAGACCTGGAGTAAAGATGACTCCCTTGGAGTTCACCCAAAAGGTGGCTTTGCGTGAAGTTTCTCCTAGTTCTGCTAGCGGGGTGGGAATTGCTGTTGTTCCCTCTTGGCCCCCTGCTCGCTTGGCCTGCCTCATTCGTAGAGAACCTTCCCTTCGGCTGCCTGGTTGGAGGGCCAGTGGAAGCCAGCCCGGGCTGGCAGCGCGTGTCCAGCCCGTTCAGCAGTGGAAGTCCCGGCCCCGGTGGCCTAATCTCTGGTATGGCTGGGGGCACTGGGCCGCGCAAAGCGCGTGTGGAACAGGCTGGAAGCAGAGGTTACGCTTGTTCTTTAGCTGTGCTGAGCACAATGGCTTGGGCTTGGTACTGGGTTAACGTGAAGGGGTGGTTGTAGTTGTCTGTTGTAGTAATTGTGTTTTCCTGGTCAGTGTCGAAGCAAAACCCAGTATGGGTTTTGGATCTGAATGATGGTGGGAATTTGAGTGGTAGCAGAAAAACCCTCTCATTTGAACTTTTGTTTTGTAGCTAGGAAATACTTTTATTCTTTATCAACAAGTTTTAGGGACCATGTGGTGAAGGTGTTTACCTTGATCTGGTTGCAGGTGCTTTATAAATCTTCCTTAATTTGTTACCGAGATTTGCAGGTCATTAGCAAAAGTAATGAATGGAGTAACCCAGGATTTTATTTTTTCCTTTAATGTGTTAAACTGGATACTTTGTTTAATGCAATAATGAAATGCATAGTTCACAACAGAAGCTGACTGCTTTGAGATTGATAGCAATTTGGTACTTGTAATAGCCTCATGGCATGTTGAACTAGCTGTTAGTCTTCTAAATGCATTCTGTCTCAACCCTGGTGCCTTTCTGTTAAAAGTACTTTTCATCCAACTACAGTAGCCACATTTGACAACCATGTCACCTGTAGCGCTTTGTTTACTTTCAAGCTTAGCTGCAGCATTAGCTCCTTTATGGTTTCTTGGTAATAGGCCTTATTCTTAATCTCTGGAAACCGTTTTAAGAGTGAGAGGTCAGGTCATACCGAGTCTTTTTTCCCTTGTTTAAGAAAACATACATAGATACAACCTCACCCCCAGTTTTGATGGGGAGCATTTGAGGGGTGGATGTTTGTCTGCTTTAGGTTACCACTGGAAGTTGGCAAGTACTTATGATCAAATACTGATGTGTGTTGGGGAAAGGTTACTATCCCTGAGCCCCCTTGTGCACGTCTCTGCTTTGGTTGGTTGTCATGGGGATGGGAAGGGTGTCAGCAGTTCCCACTTGATGCTTCATTTGTGCATCTGTGAGACACTGGGCATAGCTCTGGTTTTAATTGATTCATTCTCTGGTTAGGAAGTACATTTCATGATTATAGTTGTAACATGCATCAAAGATACTGCTGAACTTAAATCACGTTCCTTCCCTGCTTTTCTTTTCTTATGCAATTTATTGTATTTTCTGCTTTATTTAGTGTATTTTTCTTTCTCTGAACTGTACTCCAGTTCTGTTCACATTCTCGTTCATGATCACTTTTTATCAACGGTCCTGGTGGGCAAAGAGGAAATGCATCCTGAAGAAGTACTTTTCACTTGCATGTGTGGGTGATTTTTGGTTTTTTATTTACATATGTGTAAGACAGTTGCCAAATTCTAGTGTTTTCTTGCTTTGTTTTGAGAAGTTGGGTTAGAGAATACTGATTAACTCTGTATATGAAACTGATTTTCATATTTTCAGGAAATGTTTGAGGCTTGAGTAGAAGGCTTCTGTGCAGAGTGAGGCTCTGGCTATGAATTTAATCTATTTTGGTAATTAGAAGGGAGAAATGGAGTAACGTCTTCTTTCTAGAACAATTATAAATCACTTGCAGATGGTTTCAGCAGGATGTAAAAATAACAAATTCCTCCAAGTTGCAGTGAATATCCTACGGGTTCTTAGTTTCATTGTGACGTGGTATTTTTCTCTTTGGGGACAGGGGGAGTAATTCTTGACAGAGTTTTTTGCAAAGCAGGTTTGCTAAAATTTAAATATTTAAGCAGCAGAGATCTCAGTGTCTTTAATACTTTGGTGAGAATTGGTTTTGTTCTCAGTATCTAGACATGCATGTGCCTGCTCACTCGGACGGGATTGTCCCTTTCTCATCCAGCATCATTGATGTTTACACAAGATGTAGACTTGAGAATTATTCTGAACTGCTGGCTGTGATTTTTCCCCCGCCCCCCTCCCTGCGTGGGCTTTGAAGTGTGCAGGTTGCCTGGGTGCAGTTGCATCTCTGGACTCTCTTGTGAGAGCTATACACTATTTTTCTGACTCTCACCTTGTTACAGTTTTACGTTGCAGGTTGACTGCAGCTTGATAAATACAGCTCTTGTCCTCTGACATCTCACTTATTTGAATGTGGATTCTAGTATTACCTAAACACACTGCAGGCTCATGCTCACCATGTCAAATAGCTCTGTAAAATGGGGAGGGAAGGAACTGGAGGCTGTGGAGGCAAAGGAAATAGTTCATGGGGGATGACAGCAGGATGCTCACAGTTTCCTCTTGTGTTATCTTCACACCCATGTCACACCTAGTGCTGCAGAAAGAGTTCTTACTTTGTTTTTTGTGGGTGATCTGAGGTTCTCATGCATGCAAAGACATTGGTTTTAGATACAGGTGCATAATTTAAATCTCTCTACCCTCAACGAAAAGAAAAAAAGCCATCTGGGAATTTTCCTTACTTAAAGCCTGTAAAGACTGGGGGGCACAGCAAAGCCTAAATCGCCCTCCCTCACTTGGTAACTGTCTAAATCTGATAGCTTCACATTTTTCCCAAGATGTGTACAGTCTCTCCCAGTGCTGTGTACAGCAGGCACACATTATGCTACGTGACAGGGTAAGTATTAGAATAATGAACGCACTTGTTTTTCTCAGGAGCAAGTAAATTTCAAAGCAACTGACAGTCCATATGCAAGTTTCTGAGCAGCTAACGTTTTCTGAGACTATAGGGTGGTAGCATTAGGAGTACAGAGAGTTTAGTGAGCTGGTTATTATAGAGTAAGGTGCTGGTGCTGGCTGTTCAGCTGTCCAGGATTTTGCTTGAAAGAGGACGTCTCTGGCATCTCTTGTGTGACCTGTAATGGTCCCTTCCAACTCAAACCCTTTTGTGATCTTGTGAGGCTGTGTGGGAAGAGCAAAAGTTTACGTACGTCTCCAGAACCGTAATTCAGTATCAGGTTCAGAAGATGTAAGGCATGAGCAGGAGAGGAAGTGTCTCTCTAAACTTGTGGCTGAACAAGAACTCTTTGAGGGGTAGATGACTGTGGGACTATTGGAGCGGACTGTAGAGGTGTAGGACCCTTGCTCATGTTCTGAGGGCTTCAGCTGCAGAGGAATAAATAGCATCTCTGGCACTAACACTGTAATTATTCATGTGTACTGTGGAGACTGAAGCTAATAGTTTTGT